AGGAAAGCCTCACAACCAAGAAAGCCCTCTGGGTTACAGAAGCACCCTCTCCTTGTGCCGTACTCCAGATACAAGTTTGAGAGCTGAAAGAACACACTGATCTTTGTTCCTTCACGTGACTTGCAGAGCTCCAGAAACGAGACTAAGAGACCAGCACAGGTGACAGCCTCAAAGAAGTGGCACCTGTGACCAAACCTGCACCAAGAATTGCCTCAATGTCGCTATCCACGCACACTCTTAAGTGGGGTCCACAATCATCAACTGAAGGATTCTACTAGATAAGGAATTAAGTTGCCTCCCCAAAGTTGTTTTTTAGTTCTTTTAGTTGTTTTTTTTTTTGGCAGGGGAAGGGGTTGTTTGGGGTTTTTTTGTTCGGTGTTTTTTTTTTATCTAGACACTGAGCTGAGAAAGACTGACAAAGCTGGACAGAAATCCAGGTAATCTCAGTCAGAAACTTTCATCAACATATTGTCTTAACACAAGGGGCTCCAAGATTGCTGTATGCAGCTGTCCTTCCCAATCAGGTCTCAATACACAGACTCCAGTGAAGTGATTTTGTTTGTATCTCCACGCAACACTTGGAACAGGCAATCTTAATTCCTGCAACAAAAGCCAGAAGAACATCAAAAAGGTATTAAAGAAAAGGGAAGGACTACAAAATCAGAGGGGTACCTGGAACAAGTTCTGGCATACTCTTGAGATGATAATCATCAAGACTGGCCTTTCACAATAGGATGCAGCAAAAGGGAAGCTAATCATTAAGCGATGCGGTTCAATCATTCTCCAAGGGATGTGGTAAAAGCTACAGAAAGCTTAAGTTTACTTGTGATTTCATTACCTCGTCAACACTGGGTTTAAAAATCATACCACAACATTTTTGTAGCTTGTTAAAAATATTCATCAGTCCTTTATCAACATACAGAATATGATAAGACACAAAAAAGACAAGTGATATATAAAAGGCAACTAAATCCACGCTTTTTAAAGGCAAATCAAAGAGCTGCACACAAGTAGTAACCCAACAGAAATGGAAAGGCAGTGGTAATTCTTACACACAGCTCATCCATTTCCAAGAGGAATTTCCATGTATACCTCCATATTACCATAGGGCTGAATCAATCTATCTTCATCTGAATATTAGGATGGAACACCACCAGGTTGGACTCAAAAACAAACTCTCCCTTCAATGGCAAGAGGTCTAGCAAGATTAACATCCCATCTCTTTTTGAGAGGTTTCATGCTGTACACTAATTCCGTCTCACCAAGCCCAACAAAAGCCAACTAATTAGATCATCACACTCCTTCTACCACATGAACTGCCTTTGTTTGCTTCAGGCCAAGAGCAATCCAGCTGTGATTAAGATTCTGACAATTGCTGCTCTAGAACAAAACCACAGTGTCTTTACACTGGACAAAGAGTGCCTCCAGCCTGCCATGGACCAGCAGGAGTTTCATCTACAACACTATTGCAAATAGCATTTCAATCTGATATCTGCTACTGTCCATTACCACACCTCTTTTGCCAAAGACAGGCATGAGTCAAGCACCAGTTCCGTAAATCTGCCAGTTTTCAGGAGAGCAGTGACAGAGGTGCACAGCTCCCTGCTCACCAGCACAGGGCACCCCGACTGCCTTGTCCCACAATAACTACGTAACCACTGCCCTGACGTGGGATTTCCTACCTGTCACAAACACAAGATGCTGTCAACTGCTGAGCATAACCTACGTGACTTACAGCATCTGCAGGCTGAGCATCAAAGGAGACCTCTTTTCCTACATGATCACTTAGCTCCACCAATGACAGAGCACCAGAATTTTTAAAGGCACAAACAGGACAGTTTCCACAAAGCATCAAAACAGCGTAAAATAAACACTGAGCAAAGCATGAGCTATTGCACGGGCTACGTTAATAATTTACATTCATCCTTGTAAAACTCAAAACCACTTTAATTATCAGAATTAATTATTGGAATTATTATTATATTAACCACTTTAATTATCGGAAGCTGTTGGGAAACATTTAGCGACGCCACAGAAAAAAGGGGTCCAGCTACTGAAATTAAATCAGGGTCTTGCTGCATGGAAAAAAACCTGACATACTATTTGAAGACCTTCACTGAACCACTCAAATAAGGAGTCACTCATTTTGCAAAGCTGCTAATTTCCAAAAATCTTAGAAGTGTTGTGATACTGAGTGAGTTTTTATGATGACCCATTTGCCATTCCTGCTGCCTTCATTCTCCCAAGGCAATCCCCAAATGTGTTATTATCATCAAGATAATACATACAAGTCAGGGGCAAAAACATGGAAGATGGACAGAAGAGGCATTAAGGTGGGTAGGGAAGAAGACAGCAGTCCACCCTCATGACAGCATCTGCAATAAAGCCCTTGGACCCAAAACTGGCAGCCAGAGTAGGTTAAGAAACAAGTAAAAAGAGAAAGAATTTCTGCATGGAGGAAGAAAAAAAAAGACAGGATGTAAAATAAGAAGATACATTCATCTCGAAGCAGTGGCATAGTCTGAACCCCTCCTTTTCTTTACATTTACCCAAATAAGACCAGAAAATTCCTCCAATCAACAGAGGACAAGGGGTAGTTACCACCAGTACAGAGAGTATCCTACCTCTGGAAAATCTCCTGCAGGGTTTCCCTGGTGAAGGCATTGCTGTCCTGGAAGACATTGTTGAGGGCATGGAGGGCACACAGCTCCCTGCGCTGCTTCTCATGGTAAATGTGCAGTGGTGGTGGCTGGGGTGGCTCTGGCGATTCTGATTTGGTCTTGTCACCTTTCCATGGCACACAACTCATTTTCTCGATGGGTGGATGTGGAGTAGTTGGTGAGAAATGAAGGAGGCTGAAGTTTCTGCCTCCACAGTCACAACAGCAGCTCACTGCCCCTTTCTTTGGTGGGCTAGTGCTGCTTCCAGCTCACAAACCCTCCTCTTGTGCTTCAGTTTATTCAGTAATTCCCTCTGACAGCTGGTTTTAAAAACCACATGAAGATCTGCAGCATATTTTTCCTCCCTCCTCCCATACCCCATAAAATACTTCCCCTCCCCTTCACAGAAAACAAAAAAAGGAAAAAAAAAAAAAAAAGTCAAAATATACGATTCCCCTTAGCGTCTAGGTACCAGCTGGAATTTATCACATCGCTCCTTTTCTTCCATCTCCTTTGGTCTACAGTGACAGTAAAAGGGTACCCAGAGCAGGTAAGAAGGAGAAGCCCACCCCAAAGTGCCAAAGTGGTGACGATAAAGCCAGCGCCTGGTGCTGCCTATGGGGGCACAGCGTGGTTAAGCACTTATCAGCTGCATTCCTCCATTCCTTTGGGAACGAATGAATCCTGGCAGGAAGATGCCAACAGCTCGGGAAAAGAAACCGCTTCTTGCTAGGCCACGAGAAGCCCAAGTCCAGGCTGCGGGGAAGGCGATTCCTCACAGGTCACCCTGCGCTCCGACAAAGGGAAGTCTCCGTTAGCAACGGGAGGAGGCGGCACAAAGCCCGTGGGAGGGAGGGGAGCACAGGCGGGACCAGCCCCACGGCCTGCCCCGCACCTTCCCACCTCGGCCCTCCCCACCCTGCGCCCTCACAACCGCAACCACAACAACAACAACAACAACCCGGACGGCGGTCGCTTCCCGCTGCCGAGGCCCAGCGAGCACCGCAGCCCACCGCGCTGAGGAGAAGCCCCCGCCTGAACCCCCCCAGTCCCTCGGGGCTCGCGGCCGGGCCGAGGCGCCCCCCCTTCCCTTCGGGAGGGCCCCTCCGGGCCGGGCCGGGCCGGTACCGCCGCCACCGCCTCCTCACCGCCCGCTCGGCCCCTCGGGCCGCCCCCACCGGCGCACGCGCGCGCCGAACCGCGCTCACGCCGCTCTCGCGCACGCACACGCGCGCGGAACCCGCCCCCGCCCACCGCACGCGGCCACGGCCGCGCGCAGGCGCGGTCCCACCCCTTCTGACGTCAGCGCCGAAACGAGCCGGGACGGCGCTGAGAGCGGTTTCACCGCCAGGTGAACAAACAAAACCCAGTCCTCCCCCGGTTTCGCTCTGTGCCGCGGGCTGAAGCTTGCGGGGGTAGAGGAGTGGACGTGCGACCAGGAGGAGGACCAGAACGGACGGCTTTCCCTGCCGCTCTGCAGGGGTCACCTGCCGGCCCACAGAGCCCCTCAGCCAGAGAGGTTTCCTCCTTGGCGCTGGCGTCCTGGCTGCCGGCGGGCACCACAGGCGGTCTGAACACCGTGGGCTCGCATGGCATGGAGGCCTTCTGCCAGGAGCCCGGGGCGGAGGGGCTCTTTTCCCACGCCGGGGGCTGTGGCGGAACGCCGGCCCAGGACAGCCGGTCCCGCGGGCTGGAGAGACACCCAGCGCGCCCTCCCCGTGCCATTGGCTCACAAAACTGTCAGTGAAAAATCACCTCTTTCTCATTGGCTAGCCCGAGAGAAAGCCCACCCACTGGGGCGGGCTCTGTGGCAGCCTCTTAGTCCCGCCCCGTTGCTCGAGTCTCTGTATCCGATTGGCTGTCGGGGTTGTTTGTCACGAAACTTAGCCCTCCCATTGGACAGCGGCCCCCGACACGTCGCGCGGGCTGTGTTGTGTGTGTCTGTATGTGTAGCAAACAAGCCGAGCTGGCACTGCTGCTCCCATTGGCTTCGCGCGCTTCGCGGGGGCGCGGCCTCGCCTCATGAATAGCCACGACCCCGCCCGCCGCCGCCATGGCAACATGCAAATCGCGCTGTTCAGCCTCCGGTGATTGGCGGGCGCCTCCTTGGCGGGCCGGGGGCGGGGCCGGGGCGGGGGAGCGGAGGGCCGGGCAGGGAAGATGGCGGCGGCGGAGCGGAGCCGATCCCCGGTTCCCGGGGGCTCCCCGGTGCCGGCCTGTATGTTCGCCCCGGAGCCCGGCTCCCCGGGCGGACGGCCTCGCGTGGCAGCGGCCGCCTGCCCCCTCCGCGCCGCCTTCGACGGCGAGGACGGCGAGGCGCTCAACGGCGAGCCCGAAATCGACCTCACCAGCAAGGTAGGCCCGGCGGGGGGGCGGGCGGCGGCGAGCGCCATCACCCCGCCGGGCCCCCTCTGCCCTCCTCTCCGGCGGCCGCCGAGCCACGGAGGGCTGCCACCCCCAGCCTGTCCGCTGGCCGCACCTCAGGAGAGCGAGAGGCTGGGGCCCGCCTGGCTCCGCCGGAGCGGGAGGCTCCCCCGAGGGCTCCCCCTGCCCCAGCATCGCCCGGGCGGGCGGCAGAGCCCGCGGTGCCTGTGGAGGCGGCCGGGAGAAGCGCAGTAAAGTTGTGCCGCGGCCCGGCCGGGACAGGAGGGTATTGGCAGGCTGCTCCGCCCGGCGCTTTCCCCATCGCGGCAACCCGGGGGGATCGCCGGCCCGCGGCCGGTGCAGCATCTTCAGCGAGCGCGGGGTTTGGAGCTGACAGCTCCTGCAACGTCCCGCTGACGTTTTCCCCCCGCGCTGGTGCTCTGTAGTTATCTCTGCTGCCAGTTGCACTAGTTCCTGGGGCTTTCTTCGCAATCTTAAAAGAAGGTCAGAGCTCATAACTTTTGAGTGCAAGGGCTCAGTGACAGGGGTGCCTGGCTCTTGCACACCGGTTAAGTTCAATGTAAAAACCTTGGTTCACCTTGTGCAGTTCCTTTCTAGGGTCCCAGTGACAGACCTGTGTGATGGTCTTATTTCTGTCAGAACCAGTTCTTGCTTTCATCTTGCAGGAAGGTACATTGTAGTAATATGTGCGTGCTGGAGCCTGCCACAGACTACATTAGCTACCTTTCCACACTGTCTCCTGGTTTTTTTCCCAGTTGGCTGATCTCTTTAACTGTATACCTTTTGCTGCCATGGGTTTGATGTACTGTGGTGCTGTCTCCCACATTAAGGTCTCCTGAAAGCTTAGTTTGGTTCACTTGTAATTATGTGACCCAGAAGTCAGCATAGCTGGTGTTTCCTCCTGGTTTTCTGCCATACCTCCTTTTCATGCTTTCAACTGAAGTTGTTCCAAAGTCCTGGACTTTCTCATACTCTGTGCACAGGAAAGTGGAGAGAGAGGAATGAGTGTGTGGACATGGAAATGTGGTTGGTTTTTTTTTTTTTTTGAGGAGACAATTGAATATTTTATAATGTGGGACTGTATTAAAACAAATTATTATGGAGATGTCTTGTAAGATAGTAAAGAACAGAAATCAAACCTGGAGTATCTATTAAGCCACCTGTTCATGCCTTAATGAGCTGGACAAGATTTTTATACAGGATGCCAATATTGATCTGTGCTTTGTCTTGGATGTGACTGATGTGGAAGAGGGCCAAGGAGGATGTCGAGGACTGCATCACTGATTCTTGACAGCCAGGAACCTGACCAAAACACTGTCAAAGAAAGAAGAATGCTTTTCTCCCACAAACTCCATTTGTGGTGTCAGTCTGTCTTCCACTATTAGAAATCTGCAGGCGCTATGGAGGTGGTAGGTAAGCATTTTTTTTTTGACCTTATTATAATTTACTTTTCCGTTCAGCACTGTGCACCTATTTTCTTTTCCCTGGACCTTTCATTCATTCCCATCTTGTATGAGAGCTAAAACTGTGAGCTCTGCTGCATCTCTCCAAGTTAGTCTCCCACTGTGTACTCAAAACAGCAATCCCATATGGTGAGAATGCAGTAGCTAACATCTACCCCCTGATCCCCGTCTTCTATTCTGTCTTCCCAGCTGAATTGCTCCCCTCCAATCTGTGCTTAAAATGGGAACTCCCGCTGCAGTCAGTTTGTTGCTAGTTGCTACTTCTGTCCTGGTCTGACCTACACCCCCTGGCTGTTACATACTTGTCTCCCAGTCCCCTCCCAGTTCATTCACTGTAAGGTGAGCTCTTTTTAGAGAGAAACACTGGGATTCAGTTATCGAGTGCTCCTTGTCTGCTGGTCAAGCTAACAGTTCCATTCACCAGCACAAAGTCATTGTCATGTTGATCTTAATGGGTGTTTGTTTTCCCATCAGTGTCAACACACAGCAGCAGTAATCAACTTTTAGGTCAAAAACCAAATCACACGACTATTAGTGAAACTGATACTTATATTAGATCTACATTGACAGCAGAACATTAACAGCACTTGAACTGTGTATATCCATAGGGAATAGAAATCAAAATATGACATTACAGAAGGTACCTTTTCCCTGACCTCCTGATGGCTGGTGGTGGCTTTCCAGCCATGCAAAATGTCAGGCTCTGTTTTGCCAATAAAGAACAGCACTACCTACCACACAGTACTTGGTTTGCCCTCAATATTAATAGTTTGTCCGCTTTATGGATATAGGATGCTTTTTTGTAAGGACCACCTGTGTCAGTGCTGCTATAACCTGAGCTCCACTTGCTGGTCTCTTGAAATTGCTGTTAATTAACACTATGGCCTCCTGCTTGCTGTTGGGCAGTGCAGAATGCCACAGTCCATTCTGTCCCCCAGGAGTAAGCTCAAGCAACTGTAGCTTTTACCCACCTCTGGTGTGTGTTAATCCCAAAAGTGATCAGAAGAAAGGCAGGCAAAGCCACCTCTCCCCAGAGACTGGGAAGGGACTTTAGAGAATGGCATCTCAAACTTTTGAGATATGTTTCCTTCTGCTGTCTTAAGAATAAAACAATAACTGGTTGTTACTTTTTTGCCCTGTAGGAAATCTGAAGTTTGCTAGATCCACATGGCTCCTATTGATAACTGCTCAGTGCCTGGCAAAGTGGAAGGAACAAAAGTGAACGTTTTTGACTTTGTGAAAACCCCTGAAACACACCAATACGTAGTGCAAGCATGGAGGGAGTTGCTCAAAGGTTAAAAGCAAAAAAAGCAGAGGGACCAAAATGGAGGACCTCTCTCCGACCAAGGAGATGGCAAAGACCAGACTCTCTCTGCCCAGGAAGCTAAAGAGACCTTCAAAACAGCACATCAAGTCTTGCAGTGGCCCAGGAAACTGTAGAACTGGCTGAGGCTGCAGCTGCAGCATGGGAAAGTGTGATCCATGAAATCTGCTATTTGATCTACACATACTTCTCCTGATGTCCCACTACGTCATATCAACCATAAGCTTCATGGGCCCCAGAGTAACCTTTGAAGGCAGTCTACCAATGGAACACCCTTTAGCAGCACCTCTGTGTGGCAGTGAAAGCAGCAGGGTGGGAGAACAGTATTTTGAGCTGATATGCATGGGCTGGTATTGTTTGAACTCCCCAGCCCTCCTGCCTGGCAGCATGAAGAAAGGGTACAATGAGCTGCTCAGCTGAAATGTCCCTTGGTACTTGTTACACACCGTGCCTGCTCACACTGTTGAAGCACTTGAACTCAGACTAAAATAAAGCTGGTGATGAGACTTGAAGACCCTGAAGTTAGTGTGCCTCGGCGCTGGTGGCCCCTCTTGTTCTGTTGACCTTTATGTATGTGACAGCCTCTTTAATAGATCTTCCCGAGTCCCTGACCTATGCTGGTGTACTGGCCTAAGCAGTGAACCTGTCTGCTCTGCTTCCAGGAACTCCTGAAAGTACTCGCAGAGCAAAACAAACCCTAGACATTAACACACAGCCTTCCATTCCTGTCCAGATCAAGCCTCTGAACAGTTGCTGATTTCCGTCTCAATACATTTACATCCAGTGATTTCCTTCAACAAGAAAACAAAACTGAAAGAAAAACTAATAAAGGCAAAATTCAGTCTTGTGTAGCATGAAATAGAAAGACTATGTGGCCTTCCAGCTCAGAGTGCTTTAGTACCCTTTGCAGACCATGCCAAGTAGTTAAAAGGCTTAGGTAGGGCATGTGTCCAAAAGAGGCACGTGAAGGTGATTGTCTCTCTTGTAGCTGTGTGGCCCTTGCAGACACATTCATGCTCTGTGGGACCCTTAACATCTGAGGAAAGTGTTGCTTTGGCTGCCTTAAGCCTTCTAACCAGCACCTGCTGTCTGTGCTTCTGTTTCCCAGATGCATCATTATGGATTTGAAAGCTGCTTAAGTGTTATTTATGGGGTTTTGGGATTCCCTTACACTCTAGGTTTCCAATGAAGGCCTTTATCAACTATGCAGTGGTAGTAGTAATAGTGGTAGTAAAGTAGTTCCTCCCTGAATACACATTGTGTTAGCTGTGCTAATAAGTCAGGCTGTGTTACAGAATCTTGGGCAGACTTGAAGATGATACTGTGAACTGCTGTAAACCATGTGTTTTAGGCAAATCTAGCACGGATTTCAGGCTGGCCTTAGTGTGTAGCCAAGGGAAGTGCATCTTTTAGGATGTGATTTTGGAACGTGTGTGTAGGGACAGCTAGTGAAAGCATGGATGTCATTTAGTGTTGTAGCATGGCACAGGTGGACCTACCCATGGGACTCTTGGTGGGTGACAGCCCTTACAACTCTTACTAAAAGTGCCTTTTAACAGAAATGCGTATCTCAGTTGCTACAGCTATCGAGCCACTGTAGCAGGATGCTCAGCCACCAACAGGTCTGCAACCATGGAGGCATCCAGAGGGGAAGTAGACTGGGTGATGTGAGGTCTCCTTGGTCTGTCACTGCCATGCCACCATTGTGGCCGCTCTGTGCCGGTGTCCTCAGCTGTACTGTGTGAGCAATATGAGTTTTTGCCAGAAGTGGTGCTACACCATTCTGTTCTAAGAAAAATCATTCCTGAAGCACTGTCTTGTTGGCCTCATTTTCTGCTTTGTTTCTGTCTTATTTTTTCACTCTCTTGGTGCCTCTGCAGGGCAAAGGAAGTTGTGGTTATTGCAATAGCTGCAGTCAAAGCTTATTGGTAGCACAACTACTGACTTGCAGAACTGCAGCTCTTCACTCGTGAACCTGCAGATGTGTTTGGACAAACTGCTTTGTATGTCTGTCCCTCAGCACTGTAGTGTAAAGTAGCTAATATCCTCTTAGGAGTTTGAAAATAATACTTATTGATGTTCTCTTCTTTCCCTCTACCCCCTCAGAAAACAAAAGAGGAGATCAAATATGTGAAAGACTTTTGAGATGTTCTTGATTTTAGTGCCTTGGTGTGCTCTGCAGTGAGGTCTGGCTGGCTTCCTCTGTCTGTCCCGTCATGTTCTGGGGGAGCAGCAGCGCTCTGTGCAGCAGAGACTGTGGAGTACCCAGCTAAGAAATTTCTGTGGAGAAAATGTCTCCTCCCCTTTCTGTTTTCCTTGCATGGAAACATACTGGAGTGTTCATTTAAATGTGGCTTTTAAACATTGGTTACATTTGAATGAGATGCTTGGTATTCTAACTTGCTTTGAAGTGTATCTTCCAGCATGAATGAACTCTGAGCTCAGACAAACAGCCTTGTGTAGTGTCACAAGGAAATAGCTGACAGCAAAACTGGTTTAAAAGCAAAACAAAACAAAACCACCAGAAAGCAGTCCTGGAAAAAGAGCCCTTCTCTTTCAATAAAGCACATGGATTGATTGTCCTTGTAACTGAAGCTGGTTTTGAAATTGTTAGCTTGGCACCTGCAAATGGATATTTAATCTTTTTCCAGCTGGTGATGGTGAGTCCGACTTCAGAGCAGTATGACAGTTTGCTCCAGCAGATGTCAGAGAGGATTGATGAGGGATGTGGGGAGACCATCTATGTCATTGGGCAAGGATCAGGTGAGTATAGCTTCTTCAGGAAAACAACAAAAATTATAAGAAAAAACTAGTTTATCTAACTGCTGCTGAAGGTAATGCTTACTTTTCCAGAATAATTTGGAAACCTCCATAAAGTATAGCAGAATATGTGGGACAGATTCTTTTCTTTTATTCCTGCCAGCAGCTGTCTTATGTAGCAGAGCTAAACATGTTTTTTGTATAAAATCATCCAAGTTCTTTTTTGGAAATAAGGCATATCTTGTCTGAGCACACCAGGAAAAGACGAGGGGTCTAAACACATAGTAACAGTTTTAGTACAGACTTCCTCAGTGTGTACAAAGGTCTTGTTCTGTCTGGTTTTGGTCACTGCTCCATTGGAAATAACGTATTTTCACCCCACAGGAATGTATTAGAGGTACTTCAGATAGCCAAAATATATGCTGCTGACTTTCTTTGTTAGCGTGTATCTGTACTGTGGAGGGGAAGGTTTTCCTTTTCTCAGCATGAGGCCTTTATTGCCACATTAATTTGTGTGTGACCACAGTCATTTGTCTTTGCAGATTTTTAGCAGTTAGCACAGGTTACCTTTTTGTTCTTTTTGACAATTTGAATATTTTCATCTGATGCTGATAAAATAAAATTGAATGTGGCCTTGCTTGGAAATAAAAATTTCTTTTCTGAATATAAAATAATTGGCTAAAAAGCTAAAGGCATGTTTCAAATATACTAGATATTTGATGGATATGAAGTTGTCATGATCAGCCATTCACTGTGTTTGAGGAATAATACAGAACTCTGGTTGTGGGTACCAGGGTTGGCTGAGAAAATGGAGGGAGAGAGCTGTGTTACCTCAGAACTGTGTCTTTTTGGGTTTTCTTGGAGTCTTGCAAAGCAGCCAACATAGAAGAGAAGCCAGAATTAGATAGCCACTGGTCATGCAGCCAATAAATATCACAGGGATAATGCTCTTGCCTTCAGGAAAGCTTCCCATATGTAGTCTGATTCGTTGGTGTTTGGGATAACCACATCTACAGTGGAGATCTAGCTAATCAGGCTAGTACCTGCTTTTTCTTCAAGGATACCTTGTGAGGGTGTTAACTGGTGGTTGTTGTGATGAGGTACTTAGAAGCAGGCATTTGTTTCTTAAAATATGAGTTTAAACTTCTGACTTCATTTTGGGTTGCTGCATAGTCACGGAAGATGGGGATATATAACAGGGAATCTTAGTATCCCTGCTGCCATCTCTTCTTCTAATTCACTTTGAGTGTCTGTGATTTTGATCATCCCAGATAACGAACTTGGCAGACTGAGAAGTGAATGAAGACTGCTGGAAAGTTCACTGTTTCACCAGTGGCAACTCTTCCATTTCTCCCTTGGCTCTTACCCTCTCCTGTCCCCTACTTCTTTTTCCTGTTCTATGACCCAAGACTCCAGCCATGAGGCTTTTCGTTTTCCTCACCATCTCAACAGCTTCTCAGCCAGCTTATGAGCTAGGTTGGAAATCACCCAGTAACTGCTAGTTTCAGAGCAGTGCAGTAGTTAAAATGCTGATTAGTTCGTGCAAACTGCAGTTACTGCTTACCAGGTGATGAGTCAGCCATGCATATGAACACGCACACACTCAATAGCTTGTTCAGGTGCAGTGTGGCCCTCCACCTTTGTTTGTTGTTTTGTGGAGTTTTTTTACCCACAGAGGAGATTCTGGCCTGAAATCTGTGTACCTTCACAGCACCTGGGTTAGGAGAGAGGCTGTGGTGGCCTTGAAACTGTCTAGGTAGTTGCCACTGGCTTGCTGTGACTGTTGGCTCTTTGTTCGGGTGAGCTGTTCCGAGGAAGCACTAATTCCTTGGTGTTTTCTGGTCCGATGTGCTGTCAGCATTTTTTTCAAGTGCCAGGATGAAGGCAGTGAGACATGCCGAAAACATTGTTTTAACTGGAGTATGTGGGGGCTGAAGAAATTGCTGTGCCGGCCAGACTTGCAGAAAGTGTGTACTGGGGTGTGGTTTTATAAAACAAGCTGATTGTTTACATTGGTCCCACATTCCCTGGTTAATTGTGGTGATATTTTAGTCAGAGCTTTCATTTTGTTAATGCTTTACCCTTTATTGCAATGCAAGAGGAGATATTTCGTCTGACTGAAGGACACAAAGTACCTTCAGCGTGTGAAGTAAGGGAATTAGACAAAAATGTGTCTTTCTTGCCAGTCCATAATTTGCCTGTAAAAATTGTGAAAACTCCTCTAGATGAAAGATGGTGCTTTTCCTAGTGTCTTTTAAGACTCACAATGAAGACCATCTCTTTTTATTTTGGGTAAAGGATGCTTGTTCTGTGTACGTGGCTGATACCTCCAGTCCATGTATTAATACCGATTGTTGCGAAGGTCCCAGGCAGGATGCTGTTGCTGCTGGCTGTTGCAAGGTGGTGCTCACTGACTTTTCTTTGTCTCAACACCACACCAGACGGGACTGAATACGGTCTGAGCGAGGCAGACATGGAAGCGTCCTATGCCACGTTGAAGAGCATGGCAGAGCAGATCGAGGCAGACGTGATCCTCCTGCGGGAGCACCAGGAGGCAGGGGGCAAGGTGCGCGACTACCTCGTTCGGAAGCGCGTGGGTGACAACGACTTCCTGGAGGTCAGGTGAGGAGCCAGGTGGAGACAGGGTTAGTCAGCAGCTCAGCTGCATTTTTACTGTGTGAGCAGTCCGTGATGCTGAGCCAGCAACGCCGGTTGGAGTCTGGGTGTTGTAGCTACCCAGCAAAGGCAATTGAGCCTGACCACTCCTTGCTAATGCAATTGCCTTTTTGTTGTTGTTGCTGTCTCTTTTGTGAACAAACTGTTGGTGAAAATTTGCCTGTGTTTAGCAGAGGGCTGTTGCTGTCTGGGTGAGGGCTTCACAGTTTAGGGATCTTTTGTATGATGGGATCTCAGAAGGGAGTCACATGTGCACATGTGGCAGTATGCATGTGCATGTACGCACACTGCTGGAACACAGTGCTTTTGACTAAGGATTCAGTTCTATTCCAAGACTGTGATGATCCAAGTTGCCTTTAAATGGACATATACTACCTTATGTAATATGATTGAAGGTCTGCCCAGACCTGGATGGAGAGGATTTCCAACATTTTCTGACAGCCATAATAGCCACCTTGATAAGAGTCAAAGAAACAGCTTGCTGTAGGAGATGGTTTTCTCCTAAAATATTTTACTGTTATTTGAGCTTTTCTGGGAACAACAATTTCAATTTTTGTGCTCTACTTAGCACTTGGTGCTATTGCAACACGAGGAATGTGAGAAAGGCAGAGGTATTCTAGACCAAGTTGTGATTTAGTCTTCCTTTTGAATCGCTGCAGTGTATATGTTGGATTGCAGAGACAGAAGAGAGACACTCTCTGTGGCATCAGGCAATGTCAGGTTCAGTTGACTATGTGCTGGACACCAGTGACGTGTTTCCACAGTCTTTCGCATCCCAGTCCCCAGAGCCTGTGATCTCCGCTGTTAATAAATAACTGTAAAAGAATCTCTGCTCTGCCTGTGAGGGTCTAACATTTTTAAATCTCTGTTTAAAGGATAGGGAGAAAAAAACCAGTTATTTGCAGGAGCAGTGATGTTCAGGGTTTTTTGCTTGCTTGTTTGTTTCTTCAGGTATCGTATTTTACCAGGTTCCTTTTTCCTCTCCCCCCCAGGGTAGCAGTGGTTGGCAATGTGGACGCAGGAAAGAGCACGTTGCTGGGTGTCTTGACTCACGGCGAGCTAGACAATGGCCGAGGCTTTGCTCGGCAAAAGCTCTTCCGCCACAAGCACGAGATTGAGTCAGGCCGCACCAGCAGCGTGGGCAATGACATCCTGGGCTTCGACAGCGAGGGCAACGTGGTGAACAAACCCGACAGCCACGGTGGCAGTTTGGAATGGACAAAGATCTGTGAGAAATCCACCAAGGTCATTACTTTCATTGACCTGGCTGGTCATGAAAAGTACCTGAAAACCACCGTCTTTGGCATGACTGGCCACTTACCTGATTTCTGCATGCTTATGGTAGGTAGCAAGAAACATGTATCGTGTCAGCTGGAGTGGGTCTGTTTACAACTTTAACAGCCTGGACTTCTTTCCTATTGCAAAGTCCCTGTGGGGCTATGGAGGGAGGCAGCATCTCATATTGCTGGGGAGCAGAAGCCTCTGTGGGTATCTCCCCAGGACTCTGAGGCAAGTGCCACAAAGCTGCCAGTCCCAGACAGTCCCAAGGTTTGTGATTCTTGAAAATGGAAAGATTTCTAAATTCTACAAAACCTTGTTAAAAATGGGGAGAAATGAGTCCTTTGCCAGTGTCCAACAGCATTTGAGATGAGCTGGGACTGCTCATACAGTCACAGCGATACATCTACAACCTAATCACAGTCCACTGCACATCTGGCACAAGGTCTTCTCTGTAACCCAGCTTACTGCAAGAGGAACATTTACATTTACATCCCTGTGTCTTATATCCCTGGTGTAGGTTGGCAGTAATGCTGGGATTGTTGGCATGACCAAGGAGCACTTGGGCCTGGCGCTTGCACTTAATGTTCCCGTCTTTGTTGTGGTGACCAAGATTGACATGTGCCCTGCCAACATCCTGCAAGGTGAGTCCTCCAGGCTCTCTCCAGGGCTGTTTCTTACCTCTGTATGTGCTGCTGTCCTCTGCTTGGGTTCAGGAATTACTGCTGGAGGAAAGCTGCTTTATCTGATTTTGACTGCATACTAAACACCTTCCAGCAATCTTGCCCATTTTGCAGGTGCTTCACTGGGAGTCACCATGTCAAAATTACCCATGTTGAGGGACTCAGCGGAGCAACCTGAAAGTGTTTCCTACACTAAGAGGAGCAGCATACAGTTGGGGTTGGGGCTTTGCTTTCTCTCTGGGTATTTCAACCTGGAGGAAAAGTCTGGAAGTTCTTTTGAAAGCTGCTTTCCTCCTTGCCCATAGTTTGAGTGTGATCTTATGCTGTGATCGGACTTGTTCTCTGGCAGCTGTTAGTGAAGGGGCAGCTGCTTGTTACATCCTGCTCACTTGGGCACTTCTCAGATACTCTGGCATAACTACAGCAGCTCCTTCCTCTGTCTGAACAACCAACACTTAATAAATCATGATTTGAAGCAGCTCCATATGTGTAGCAGGATGGGAGACAGGACTAGACACAGGCAGCAGTTAAAGCAGTACCTCTAACCCCAGCAGTGACCCATTAACCCATGCCTGACATTTTTTCAGGCAGTGACCAACTCTCACCTTTGAAATGCTCTTTAAGCATTTCTTACACACACAGGAATATTCTGTAGTTAATTGGAAGAATGTTTTCAGGTTTTTTGATAATCGGTCCTAAGAATCTGGAAAGTGAATGCTCCCAGTACTGAGGTTAGTTCATTACTGTAAAAGTCCCAAATATATTTAAGGTAAACAGAAGCATGTGAACAGAAGATAATCTAAATGTCTCTGTGGTAGTTATTTGGCAAATAAATGTAAGGCCTGAATATAAGATAATAACTGGGAAGGAAGGAGAACATTTGGCTCTGTGTGAGAAGAAAGAGCTGCTCCTGGGAGAAGCCACTCCCATGACATGCTCTGTTTAAAGTAAATAGACACAAGATTTGACTCAAGTGTATCTGTGAAGACCAGATGGCATGATTAGATGTTTGTGTTTCTGTATCCAAAACATTACTTTCCCATAGGCAATCATTTGTTCACAAAAACCCATCTAATTGGATGACAATTGTAGAATATAAATTCTTTTCTCTTTTAAGTCCTTACTACCCTTTTTTGTTTTTTCCCCATTTATTGTAAGGCACTTTGCAGGAGGCTGATGCCATTGCATCATTGCAATGCTGGCCTGCTGGCTCATAGATACAAGGCTTAGAAAATACATGAAAAAGAGACAAAAGATGAAAGTTGGGAGCCAGGATATTTGTCCCAAAACAATGATTTCCGAATCTGGTCCACCCACACTGTTCTAGTCTATGATGGTGATCTTTACCTCTTTCATGCTTCTCCAGCCTCCTAGGGCAAGCTGACTTCCATGAAAAATGTATTGAGGTGTGTTTGGTCAAAATTGATTTCTAAATCACATGTTCTCAAATATTTCCATTCCTGAGTCCTGATGGTTTTCATTTAATTCAATATGAAAAATCGTTTATAGGAAGAGGAAATACCTTGTAACTGCTTTAAGCTACTAATAGACAGCTATAAAATGTCTACTTCACAGCATTGCACTTGCAGATGCAAACTTGTCTGTCTGTTTGTGTATGGTGTCGCTTGGCAGTAGGCTAGCTGGCATGAAATGAAAGATGGAATGGCTCCTAAGTCCTACCTGGGCTGCAGCAAACTCATAGTCTCACCTTTAGCCATCTTCTCCTGTCTATTTGTGGCCAGAGCACCCGTCTCCCTTCAGGGAGAGACCCCACAAAAGTGATTTGTAAAGACAGGAGATGCTGCCCTAACAATATTCATTTCACCCTTTAAGAAACCCTGAAGCTGTTACAGCGACTGCTGAAGTCCCCAGGGTGCAGGAAGATTCCCGTGCTGGTTCAGAGCAAGGATGATGTCATTGTAACAGCCTCCAACTTCAGCTCAGAGAGGTAACGGGAGTAGAGGAGAATCATTTCTCTTTCAATCCTATTTGGAGACTGGGTGAGGAGATTCAGAAAGAGAGTCCCATTGTCTAGATGTGTGAAGGTTGCATCTGCCATGTGGTGTGTTGATTCCATAAGAGTGTGTTGATTTTGAGGTTGACCTGCTTGTGTTCCCCTCTCTGAGACAGAAATGAGAGGCTGCTTCTGGGCAGTCTGCAGAAGACGTCAGGGCATTCGGCTTCCTTCAGTCCTGGAACCTTACACATTATTCCAAATGTCATTAGAAGGCAGAGGCAATGTTGCAGGTGTTCAAACATGGGGTGTTGTGCATCTGACTTCTTGCCAGGCTCTCCCTTCCTAGCACTGTGTTTTGAATTCAAGTCCCAAGATTTTGGATGTCTCCCTACATGTGGAAACCTAGGTAGGAAGGTGAACTTAACTCCGTTTTCATCAATTTTCCTTTACAGGATGTGCCCAATTTTCCAGATTTCAAATGTTACCGGGGAGAACCTAGATTTGCTGAAGATGTTTCTTAATCTCTTGTCTCCACGGACCAGTTACAGGGAAGAAGAGCCAGCAGAATTCCAGATAGATGATACTTACTCTGTCCCGGTAAGGGGCCTGGTTTTTGGAAGAATGTTCTGTTCCCTCTTTCAGGTTGAAGAAGGTATTTTCTCTAGAGAGGGGAGTTCTAGAGCTATTCTGTCAGCCTGCTTGAGTAACCCCAATTACTGTTTTTTCTCCTTTGGCATAGGGCGTAGGAACAGTTGTCTCTGGGACGACACTGAGAGGCCTCATCAAGCTAAATGACACCCTTCTGCTGGGGCCAGATCCCCTTGGCAACTTCCTGCCTATTGCTGTCAAGTCCATCCACCGCAAGAGAATGCCTGTCAAAGAAGTGCGGGGAGGCCAGACTGCCTCCTTTGCTTTGAAGAAGGTGAGATGATCTGCTCTAGACCCCCCCAAAAGAAACCACCCTCTAATTTTCAAGTGCTCTCAGAGATCAGCTACAATAAGACTGTTTCTACAAACCTCAGCTGCCTCATTTTGCAGCAGAATAAAATCCCATAGAACCTCTATGGATTCTACATCCTGGTTGTTCCTCCTGAGAGCTGCCAGGCCATTACAGTGCCCCTAGGTAATGACAAATAGTGTTGGAGATGTCTGACAAAGTGGAGGTACTGCAAGAAAAGTCTCCTTTTGTGCTGGAACTGCATTGGTATCCTGAGCAGTATATTTACACTATTCGTCTTGGCTTGTAGGACCAGCTGCATGTTTTGGGATTTAAAAATAAGCAAAAATTGATTAAATTCCTCTTCCAAAAAGGTTTCTGTCAATAGAAGTTCCAATTATTTTAAGGGGATATAGTTTGAACTACACCACACTTCCTGTGTTCAGGCTTATTGTGTTGTATTAACAGACATCATGATTTTGGAGATCATCCGCTTGGATAATGTGTAACCAGAACGTATGTTTTGCTTTTAAAGGAGCAGTGAGGTATGTGTGTCAGTGTCCAGCATTCCCAGCACTCTAACTAAAGCTTCCTTAGAAACTTCAGCTGAACTTGATTTTTGCAACCTTTACATAACATCATATATATATAACATACAGCTTAACAGCTCTTGCTTTGCCTTTTGGCAAACGTGAGATAATATCTCTGAAATCCCTTAGGACCCTTCTGGATGCAGTCAGCCAGAGAAGTAAATTTCTTCCCTGGAGAATCATGCTAAGGTTTTTTGTGTCTCTGCTTTCCAGATCAAGCGCTCTTCCATCCGGAAAGGCATGGTAATGGTGTCACCCCGCCTGAATCCACAAGCATCGTGGGAGTTTGAAGCAGAGATTCTGGTGCTCCATCACCCCACCACCATCAGCCCACGATATCAGGCCATGGGTATGTGCCTCAATGTTGTCTCATCTTTGTTTCTCAGTGGTAGCAGTTGGTATCAGTTCTAGCCTGAGACAATTCTGCTCCTGGTGGCTCTGTCAACATGAGTATATGCCATAGTTCCTGGTTTTGCCTTTCCCAGCAATGTGTAAGAGAGAGGGGAGGGAGCTGACAGAGGAGAGTGGAGGAGATAAAAAGGAGATGTGTGCCCTCAAGTGTACTTGGAGCCTGCCTGAGCTGGATCTCCATGGTGCAAAGATTCTTCACCTTCAAATGCTGATGGAAAGACTCATTTTGGGTCCTGCCCTCTAGCCGAGCTGCTTGGTGTGTAGCGTTGTGTTGAGGGTGCTTCAGGACAGGCGCCATTTGAAGGCAACCATTCTAGATCACAACGTTTTCATTTTGAGGACTGAACAAAGGCAGCTGCGTGACCCGTGTAGTCTTTGCTGTAGGGCAACAAGCTGCCTTCGATGTCTGTCTGGAGCTCGTTCCACTAATGGCACTGGCTGTTGAAAGCCTTTGTGCATTACCTTTGCAGTGCATTGTGGCAGCATCCGCCAGACGGCCACGATTCTCAGCATGGACAAGGATTGCCTGCGAACAGGGGACAAAGCCACAGTGCACTTTCGCTTCATCAAAACCCCGGAATACTTGCATATAGACCAGCGCCTGGTCTTCCGTGAAGGCCGCACCAAAGCCGTGGGTACCATCACTAAGGTAAAGGATGAAGAGTCCAACTTGGGTTTGCCCATTAGCTACTTCTTACACTGAGAAGCCAGCAGGAGGATTTGGGTAGCTCTGGAAAACTGAGGAAAGAGGCTGTCCTTCAATTACAAGCATCAGCCCTGACATGGGTTCTGGGTGACCAGTGTGCTTTGTCATGTGGCATGTCTTTAGCTGGTATGAGTGAAGGAATGTGAAGGTGGGGGGTGAACCAGGCCTCTGGTTCTTAAGGCTCAGTCTTTTTCAGACATCTTGCAGCTGGTCCCTTTGAGTTATGTTGTGGAGGGTTGTTTCCTCCTGGTAAGAGCTCTTGAGGGCAGCTCAGAGGCCTAGGTTTCTTTGAATAGCTGCTGCTGCTGCAATCTTCTCATTGGCTTTTGGTATAAATTCTCCTGAGGCTTTTTGTTAAAAAGCAGCATTGAACCTTGCCAGATCAGCCTAGCTATTTTAATGCTGAGTTTGGCCTCTCCCTTTGCAATTTGCAGTTACTCCAGACCACCAATAACTCGCCAATGAACTCCAAGCCACAGCAGATCAAGATGCAGTCAACTAAGAAGGGAGCTGTTACAAAACGAGAGGATGGTGTTCCTGCCACTGGGACGGCAGCTGGAGGCCCACCAGCTGGGGACGAGGCCCCCTCAACAGCTGCAGCACCATTGACAGCTACTGCCCTGCAACCATTGGTAAGTGAGGAAAATACCATGTCAGTCCTAGCTGTTTGCATCCTGATTTCATCCGTTGGAGGACGGGCACTCTAAAGCGCAAGCATAGCACTCTCCTTGGGGTTCAATGTGCCACAGAAACAAATAGAAATATAAGTAGTCTCACAGCAGAAATCATAATTCTCTGATGACTGACCCTATGGCTGACCTTTCAGCAGACAGCTGCTGAAGGTCCTAGGACAATTCAGGTTAGACCTCAGGAAATGTCTAGTCAAACCCCGTGCTCCAAGTAGGATTAGCTGTGAGGTCAGACCAGGTTGCTCAGGGTTTTATCCAGTCATGTCTTAAAACCCTCCAAGGGAAGACTGCACAACCTCTCTTGGCAAGCTGTTTCAGTACAACTGTGCTCACAGGGAAGATGTGTCTCCATAATACCCAGTAGCTGAACTAGTGAAGCATCAAACAAGCAGTCACAGAATGGGTCTCTGATGTCTGAATGAGATATAGAATATCCCTACACCAGAGAAATTACAACCTGAGTATAAGTCACAGGTCATCTGCCCTGTCAAAGAGGGAGGATGGAGACATCCAAGGAGAAGGAAAGGCTTATCTCTTCCTAGAGAAATTTATCCAGGTTGTTTTGTTGGTTAGGACCTCTCAGGTCAGCTTGTTAATGAAGGATACCTAGCCTTTCTGGCCTGAAAAGAATGGAAACTCAATTCTAACTGCAGGTTCTGGGAGCTATTTATCAGCTTTATTACTGACAGTGTATTTACCTAGTAAGTGAAAGGTTCAGGAACTGACTCTGTCAAGAGACTTGGTCAGTGTTCCCCTTCTTAACTCTAGCTATATTAGTTGCCACTGGTCAAATCTTTAGCCATGCTGGTGAAAGAGCCCTGTGGCAGGGGTTCTCTCCCTCTGCACATGCCTGGGGCTTCACACCAGTCCTCCATCTCCTCCTTATCTTGTTGTAGCGTCACTGTGGTTGTAAGTAGCACTCCCAGCTTGCGTTTTGTTTCATCCCTCCCCGAGACTCTGTTGCTTTTGTTCTTGCTTACCTCTTCCTCTCTCTCCTTGCTGCTTCCACTCAGCCTGCCCTGGACGAAGAGCCCCACATCCGTGAGGGCAATAAGGTATTTGGCTGATTTCAAAGAGGAACAGTGGGTTTGCTGGCCTGAGATTGGGAACAGAGTCGGGTCAGCAAGAGAGCTGTGGTAGGGGGGTGGGGGGCTCTCCTTCCATTCTGCACAAAGTCAAGGGAGCCTGAGGCCTTGATTTCCTAATGCTGAAGCCCATGGCACCTGCTGGTTCTTTTGGGAGTGAAGCACTCAGAAAATTGGGAAATCAAATCCTTCACAGCTTGAAAGGCAGAATTTTATGGTGCATCTGTCTCTCCTCCTTCCCTCATGGTGTGTCTGTCTGCCTTACCTCCTTCCTGCAGTGGTAGGAAGCCAATCAGTCACAACTGCCCTCCCGCTGTCTGAATGTGTGCATGATCCATCTGAACTCCTGCTGTGCTGATGCTCTGATTGAGGGGTCCCCTTGCACTAAAGTCAGTCTTCTTGTTTTTCAGTCAAAAGTCGGAGGAGGAGGCCGGCGACGTGGGGGTCAGCGCCATAAAGTGAAATCTCAGGGAGCCTGTGTGACTCCTGCCAGTGGTTGCTGAATTTCTTATTCCTCCTCTCTCTGAGGAATTCCTCCCCTTCCTTTCATTTCTTATCCAAAAGATCCAGAGCAGCTTAAACCAAAACCCATCCCAGCTGATTGGCTGCAGAAGAATCGTCCCTCCTCCCTGAAGGAAGCGATGGAGAGGAGCATAATTTATAAGCTAATGAAGGTGATAAGACACAGAGAACTGAGTAACTGACACCTTCCTCCTCCACCTGTTGACACATTTTTGTACATCATGGGCTTAGTTTTTATTCTTATTAGTTTTTATTATATTTTGTGTGCATGAAGATGAGAGGAGAGTCTGGATAGAACTGCGAAGAGCCAGTTAGTTGCCTCCCTCCTCCCTCACCCCTTTCTGTCCACAGGACTTGCTGCTCTCCCTCTATTTGCTGTCTCAGATCCAGGGGTTATCGAACGCCTGAAATTGCAGACTTGCAAAAGTTAAAACACGTTGCTTAGGATGGCTCCATGGGGCATTGTTTCCTCACCACAGTGGCCCTGTGCCAAATATGTTTCTGGATTCCCTCCCTCTTAAACTATTTCTAAGTGAATTTAATTTAATGTTGTAGTGACTGAAGTTTGAAGAAGATGGTAAGAAAGTTCTTTAGTTGGAGATCTAAGAGGGAAACAAATTGGAAAGCAGTTCTTGATGTTAAATTCAGGGATCCTATGCTAAATTTCCTTCTCAAATAATGCTGATAGCACTTAAGATTTTTATTAGTAACAGAGTTAACTGGGCAGATGTATGCCCATCCTGTTCCCCTTCCCATTGTGCTGCTTTTCCTAGTGTTTGTTCACTGCACATGGAAGCAAATCTCACCTGCCTCTCAAGGCTGCAGCATCTCAACTGACAGTATTAAGAATATAGTGCAGGAACACTCAGTCTGTCCCTTGAGCCAGAGAAAGCCTTCTCACCTCGACAGACAGAGGTGGCAGGTGGCAATATACCTTTGGAACAGAGACACCAGGCTAACATGACCTCCCCTTGATTTTGTTTACTCCAAGATTTCCAAAATCTTTCCTGGAACTCAGTGGCCAAACTTTGCAATGGCAGAGGTAGGATTTGTCTTCTCTCCTCTTGACCAAAGAGGGCAGTGATGAATTGGTACCAAATTTATAGAAGTGCTTTCAGGACTGGAAGTACATAGTAATTTTTGTGACTTTTAATTTCATTGTTTTTTAAGATTGTATTTTATTTTAATTACAAATTCTTGCTTCTCCAGGAAGGCCCTGCAAGGATAGTCTACAAATTACTGTTAGAATGTTTTTTTAACCCTGAGTTGTGCAAGTGATCGATTCCCTGCATATTTTGATCTCCCTTCTAACCCTGCCCCTTTGCTTGGCTCCGGTGAGGATAGGAGTTATCCTCTGCCAGCTTGTGGTGAGCTGTGGGAGCGTGGTAGGATTTTGAGGAGGAGGAGGTGGCATCCTTAGCAAATCATGGCTCTCCCCAGCAGGTGTGGTCAGCCTCGGTTTCTCTGAGGGCTTCCTCCTCCAACGAAGGACTTCTGTTTTAATTAGAGAGAGACTGTAAAGCTTCTGTCCCTCCTGAGCGGGTTGTTCCTGTTTCTTACTCTGTGGCCTCTGTGTGGAGTTCATTCCAGTTCACCTTGTGATTCAAGGTGAGGCTTTCACACCGACTGAGTGGCAGCAGGCTCAGGGGCCACAGTGCATCTCCCGATGCCAACACCAGCACTCCAAGAGCATTAAGTGGCACAGGAGAGGTGAGAAACATGGTTTGGAAACGAGGGTACTTTGCCTTAGAGACTACAGTGGCTTGAGCATGGGTGGGAGGGGGAGGTCAGACAGTCCTTTTCCAAGCTATGTGCCTAAATACCAGCACTCTCCTGGCGAGGGAGGAACTATAGGCGGCTACAACACTAATAGCACCCACATTGTGAGGGGGTGTGAGGTGTGGCTAAGCAGGGCATGAAGGCCTGGGGTTTTTGTCTTCTGACCCTGTAGCAGCATCAAACTGCATCTGATTTCACTGTCCTCTGCTTCTGAGGGGAGCAGGGAGCTCCAGGCGGTTTTCTCTTTCTCCATTCCTTGTGCTCCAAATGAAGGAGACTGCCGAGAATGAAAGAAGGTTCACTTCAATTTGTGCAAAGGAGGCGGTGTGATCTCTCTTTTGTGACCAGCATTTAAAGATCACTCAGGCTGGTGTGATCTATAAAATAAATTTTAAAAAAGTTTGTTCCAAGTTAAAGTGTGTCTTGTTGCTTTTTGTCCCTCTGGAAAACCAGGACGAAAGCCGGACAAAGCAGGTTTGCCTGGCACCAGTCTCCTTTGCTGGCTACAAAAGGAGGCTGCGTTCACAGTGAGGGCAGGGGAGGGCATGCCATGGCACAAGAGAGCTGCTGCTGAGCCTCTGCATAGCCCTGACAGCTTTTACTCTGAACAAGATTTAGTGCACCTTGGTGGCAGAGTGGTTAAATGTGTGGTGTGAGATGTGTACAAGTGCACGTGAAAAGCAGCTATAGCAAATCATTTGGGGCCAGCTCCATCAGAGAACCTCTGCTGCAGGATGCAACTTCAGCACAGCACTTGCACTGCCTGCATATTATTGTACTCCCTGGGCCCTCACTAGGACTTGCACCTCACCTCTTTCTGCAAATACAGCAGGACTCCCCAGTGTTTGGAATAAGCTTTTTTCTGCCTCAGTTTATCTCAGAGGTTTGCAAAGGCTTTTTCTGCCCTGCACAGTCCTTTCATAGGTAAGTGTTGGGCTGGGAGCTGGTGGTAGCTGGAGCAGAGGCCCACAGCCTTTCTCTTGGAGATGGCTGGTCCAGGGCTAGCACAGAGCAAGCCTGGCCCTGAGGTGACCTTCTGGAAGGAGCTGCATGGTACTCCTCAACACAAGCCTGCCTCCAAGCCCATCCTGGTTAAGCAGACGGGGTTGTGACCCTCCTCATGCAAGTTCAATTTCCCTCTTTTGCGGCCGCCTTTTTTGCGCCATTTTCTCATGCTGAGGAAAATTAAATATTTCCTTTCCACTTGCTCTTAGCTGCCTGCTCAGTAATTTACAACCTGTGTTAGGGAAAAGAGCAGCCTGCAGCTACCCTTAATTGTGCTTTGTGTCAGGCTTTCTCCCTGCTGCTCCTGAGGGCCAAGCCAGGCTCTGCTCATGATAAGGCAGAGGATGGACTGATGCCCAGGGAGGGTCTGGAGGTTGCTGCAGGATGGACACAGCCATGGTCCATCACAGACTTAAGTCTAGTAGAAGTCACTGAAGTCCCAAGGAATTTGAGTTTTGCATCCCAGAGCCTGCTCCATGACAAGGTGACAACTGCTGACCCTAGATTTAGTACATCAAGCTGAAAAATAAGGATTTGCCATAAGACTACACAAGAGCTAAAAGAATAGCTTTGTCCATCTATTAGCTGTGCATCATTTCCAACAGCAAATTCACTTACAAAACATCCAAATGTACAAAACAGGACAGTTTTGATATAATTTATTTGTCTTGGTCTTTTTTTTTCTTGCATAGGCATAAATTACAATCTGTTGATTAAAAAATAAAATGAACAAAACAGTGCAGCATTTGCAACAGGCTACAGCATCAAATACAAACTCCTGCCTGTAACCATCTGTTTCTGCAGGGTTAATTTGTAACGTGTGTAGGGGAAACTCAGAAGGAGGGAAAATAGAGGAGGGAAATGAAGTAAATAAGGGAAATCTGCTCCCACAGCTGTTCTGCATTTCTCCTGCCTCACCAGGCTCATCTTCTGCATCAGCTCTAGGATTAAATACCCTTGGGTAGAGATGCACATGCTGAAGCAGCAGTTTTATGTGCCCTTTTTTTTTTTTTTGTAGCTCTGGGAAGTGTTGCAGAAATCCTGCAAGTGGTTGCTGGAAAGGCAGCTGCCCAGGCATTCAGCACAGGTACTCAGGCTGCAGCCCAGCACTGATGCTGAATGTGGGGGCTGAAAAACTACAGGTAGCCTCAGCATATGTTCCTGGGGATCCTCCCACAGGCAGCACCATGAGGCCTCTAAAACCAGCTAGAGAAGAGCATAAAGCCCCAAGATGAGCTCTCACTGGTGTCTCCAGAGGATCTTACCTCAGAACAGCAGAGACTTTCATCTCCAAAGGACAGGGCAAGCTTGCCCTGTAAAGCCAAATGCTCCCTAACCCAGAGCCACCAGTTAATACCCCCGTGGAAGGTGCAGAAACCGTGCTACTATTCTATTCTGAGGGAAAGAGGTCCCTTTTCCCACGTCTTACCAGCATGCGTGATTTACCACAAAATAATTTTTTCTTGGGCAAAGACCCTGTCTGCCCTGATAGTCCGAACCAGAGACCAGAGAGCCAGAAGAAACATTAAAGAAGGGGTTTTCCCAGTCTCATGGTTATGGTATTTGCTCCAGAAGCCAAAGAGAGGTGGGGAAAAGGGAGAGCTTCATCTCTGCTCTCTTTATCATTCAAATAAATACAGGAGCTGCTCTGCTGAGCCCAGAACAGGTCTAGGCATTGATAAAAGCACAGCTCCATGTGCGCAGGGCACTCATGGACATGACTCCAAGGCAAGCAGGCAGCTGTAGATGAGTTTAAAATAACTTTGGCTGTGGATGCCAAGAATTAAGACTATGCTCAATATAGGAGAGAATTTATAGTCACTGGATCTGGCCACAGGTCAGCTTTCTCCCTGCAGCAGGGCCTCCCAGCTCTGCAGGAGGCTCCACAGGGTAATTTTAACCTGTTGGAGATGGGGCTGTGGCCTCTGGGCTCACTTCCCTTGCTTGGAGCAAGTGGACCCCTCCAGAAGGGATGTGCTGCCACCATCCTCATCCCCTCGGGGTGGCATGGAGGGGGACAGGGCTCAGCATCTCTGCCTGTTGATCAACACATTAGGGCATTATGAAGGGAGACACTTCCTCAGTCCTTTTCCCTCCTCCTCTATGCCTACAGTCCTTCAAGCAGAGACCACCAGAGTGGGAATCAATACACGGTGCTCTCATGGTGCCAGGGGAAGGATGATACCAGCATCAGACAGGGATGAAGCGCTAAATGTGAGCCCTTTAGCTTTTCTTTCAACAAAACACAAGACAAAGGTGGAGGCTGTATATGCTAAAAGAACATAATCCAAAATACATGTGATGCAGGGAACCAGGAGGTGGAGGGGCCAGATGACTCTGGCACTCCTCAGCCCAGGGAAGCTCTCTGTGCATGCTTCCTGCCAACCCCTGCTGTGGCTCCCCCCATCTACAACATGAGCACAGGCAGGATTTACATGCCCACTGCAGTCAGAACTCCCCATCCTGCTCCAGCACTGTCCTCCACAGCCAGGGCTCAGAGAACAGAGCAACGCCTGTGAGGAGAGGTAGGAGGGAAAGGCAGCCCTTCCAAGAGAAAGGAGGTCAGGCTGCACCAGCCATCTGCCATCAGGGACTGGGAGCCGATGGAGGCAGCTCAGAGCACTGCAGGTGGGGGTGACTCTGCTGCTCCCCAATGAGCAGAAGCATGTTGGCACCTGCAAGCCCTGGAGACTGCCCCATCTCCCACCCAACAGACCTGCAGAGCACTGAAGCAGCAGTTCCTGCTTGCTGCTAACAGTCATGTATACACAGATGCAGCCATGGGCAAAAGGCCACAACCAGCCATTGCAGTCTCAGAGAACATTCGGAGCAAGGAGGGCAGGAATGCCTCCAGCACCCCATCAGCAGCAGTCTACAGAGGACCCCATCTCCCAGGTCCAGCTACCAAGCCCCCAACAACAAGGCCCATATTTCAAACAGCTCTGCTGCTCTTGTTCTAGCTTATCCCACTATGTGTGCTATTCTGCTACTAAACAAAGCTCTAGCCCTCCACATCTAAGCCACTTGCCCAAGTGGCACCATGTAACATTCTCCGGTTAAGTACAAATTGCAAGGAAAAAGTCTTTTTTCCCTTTGTTACTACAAAAAAAAGAAAAAAACGAACCCCAACACCCCAACTGTAAAATAATGCCCCTCCCCACCCCTCAAAAAAAAAAAAAAACCAACCAAAAAAACACCCAGAACAAACCCCGAAGGAGAAGCAGGCAACAGGAATTTTCAATAGAATCATCAAGCTTAACACTGGGGAGGCAGCCAGCCTGGGAGGCCAATAGCATCACCAAGACCCAGCACAGCCACTGGCAGCATGAGGGCTTGAGCAGACGGATGGCAGCACCAGGGCGGGCTCTGCCACCAACATGTGCCACATTTCTCTCCTCCTGCTGCCCCAAACCGTTAGCTCTTTGTTAATACTTCATTAATACTGTCTCATTTCCCCTCTGCCAGCCCAGCATCAGAGGGCTGGAGATCTTTAGCCAACCCAACGCCAAGGCAAGAGAAGTGACCCTGTGTGGAGGGGACTCCACTGTGTGGACCGGTGGCTCCCACCTACACCGGCAGAACCGGGCCAGGCACCACGGTCCCATAAACCATATCGCACCCAAGCCCGCATGAAGCACATCGCAAAATTACACACCCCTTTCCCAAGTCCTGGCAATGCTAGACACACCATCAGAAAGGAGCGGGGCAACAGGGACAAGGGGCAGCACAGACCCGATAAAAAGTTAGCTCAAAAAGTTAAAAAGTCCGATATGCACAGAAAACAAGCCAGGCTGCGCTAGGACCCGTATGGGATGCTCTTGTCTCACCACCTCAGTCCTTAGAAGAGTGAAAGCCTCACCCCTTAAACACCAGCTCTTCTCCTCCCCGCAGGGGAGCAGCTTCCTGGGGCAGCTGCTGGCGCATCCCGGGATTTCTACGTGCGAAGCGGTGAACCAGACGAATCCGCTCCTGCTGTCAGCCTGGCAGCATCCTCATCCTGCTCGGGAGCCGGGGGTCAGTGCGCCGGCTCCCCGTGCACGCGGAAGCGGTAGATGCAGGTGTATTCGGGGTGGCCCCAATTGCTCAGCACCCGCAGCTCCACCAGCTGGTACGTGCCTACAGAGTCACCCTTGGGGAGAAGGGGAAAGAAAAACGTGAGCCCTTGTGAGCTCTCTAAGGCTCAGAGACCCTGGAGACCCCATTTTCTTCTTGGGGTCAGGTGCTCCAAGGGCCATTTTGCTTACCTCCAAGTAAAATGTTTGGATGGGGTCGCCATCGTGGTTGTAGGTAAACTGTCCAAGGAGAAGGCCCTCCTCCTCTCCTTCTTCCTTTAAGCCCTATGGAGGGGCAGGGAGGCAGAAAGGGAGAACCAGGGGTCATCAGAGAGGGAGACCAGAGGTGATGAGCACAC